CTTCAGATTTGGAAGTTACATCTGCAGTGCTAGCGAATCTGATAAGCTACCTGCATGCCACGGCTGCCGCTGCTATCAGGAAAGCGTCAATAGCACCATCCAAAGCTGCTGAAGCCACCCCCGAACCGGTGATTGACAATTTGTCTCACCTTGCTGAAAAGTACCATGGTAGTTGGTGCTTGGTGGCCGTGCGGCGTGAGCTGGAAGGAGCAAGGTGTCGCAACGACAACTTGCTGCAGCTTATACCTTTATTTGGCAAGGATGCCGTGACAAGCCTTCAGCCTTGTTTGGAGAATTCAGGTGGCCCGGCGTGGCTCGGAAGCTCTGTATAAGACACCATACGTCACAGATAAAAACAACTGAACCAGTGATATGTGAATTTTGCGCTTGTGTGTGTGTGTGTGTGTGTGTGTGTGTGTGTGTGTGTGTGTGTGTGTGTGTGTGTGTGTGTGTGTGTGTGTGTGTGTGTGCTTCTCTGATAAGTGGTATAAGCAGTCCACAGGGTATTCACCTTGAGTGCATTCGCCGATAGTGTGACTTTCGTCGCACAGAACCTTCTTCAGTTGGTCAGGTGACTCGGCGTGGCTCGGAAGCTCTGTATAAGACAAAATACGACACAGATAAAAACAACTGAACCAGTGATATGTGAATTTTGCGCTTGTGTGTGCACGAGCATGCATGTGTGTGTGTGTGTGTGTGTGTGTGTGTGTGTGTGTGTGTGTGTGTGTGTGTGTGTGTATGTGTGCTTGTGTGTATGCTACTGTGATAAGCGGTACAAGCAGTATACAGGATATTGACGGGTATTCACCTTGAGTGCATTCGCCGATAGTGTGACTTTCGTCGCAGAGAACTTTGCTCAGTCGGTGAGGCGACTCGGCCTTACATTTCCTGAAGGCAATGTGTTCAGAACAGTTATGAACAGCTATGAACAGTTAAGAAATGACAAATATTGTTTGCAGTTCATGGGCCATATAGATGTGAAACACTTTGAATGCAGAAGAATGAGGATAGTGGCATCAAATACTGCATGGATTCTGTTTGATATGCTACTTTTTTTTCCCTTCCATGGAAAGGTGAGTACATCGTCGAACTTCATCTCGAAACTTCACACAAACCTAGAATGGAACTTGGACAACATGAAGGGGCCATGGGCATGGTGTGTTTAGTGGAGAACTATTCCGAAAACAGGGTGTCATTCGCATTGACTCAATTCAAATTTGAGTACATTTCGTGAATAACTTACCTTGACATTCCGTCGTCTCCAAAGCAGTGAACTTCCAAAAAAAATTAAAAGCCACGGCTCAACCTAAGGTAATGCGTGGTACGTATCAGAAACAACCAGCTTTCGCTCTGGAGATCCAGAATAGCCTCGAAGCATATAGCAAAAACAATTGAGAAAAAGAAGATGACGACGACGTTTCAATCACGCTTCAAATTTCGCGGGTCGAGTGCGGCAATCCTCGGATCGTGAAATGTGTGGCGTGTCGCCTCCCGGTATTTTACGACTCCCTGTTTGCAACCTTATTTGGACCTGAACTGGCGTGTGCTGGAGGAATCCTTGTCCATTACTTGGTTTGCTGCTGAGGTATGTCCCTTTGTCACCAATGGCACTTTAGCTGACGTTCGTTGCGCCCAACTGTAGACCATGAAGACCTGTGTTTGCACTACATATTTTTTCGTCGTAATCGTACCATCAACTTGCTTGTCGTGCTTGTCGTGCTGGAGTGGATAGCATAATCGGACACTCTCGGCTTATGCTCTAAGCGAAAGGTAGATATATTTGGGTTTGGATTCCCAAAGCACATCCCAATCAGGCTATGCAAAATGGAGCGGCCCACAATTTCGTGGAGGTATGTCGAATTGTGTGGAATTTTGCACTAACGTAATTGTGCTTGAACAAGGACGTTTTGGCTGCTTATTTTCCTTGGGCATCTCGACATTGCAAACTAGTCCCCTTGCTGTTGTGTCTTCGACATCTAAACGGAATTTCTATGTAAGTCGTGTGGTTGGGGTCCAGATTTTAATCAAAATCCAGCAGTATTCCTGGCTGCTAATCTAGTTTGCTAAAGTTCTGGCTGAAGGCAGTCTGTTGAACAGTTTCTTTTGTATGTACCATGGTAGGACGTTCATTACATGATTATAGATGGAGTACATAGTCAAAGAAACTTTTTATGTAGTTTACCACAACTGCACAGAAGTGCAGGGCCTGAAAGAAAAGCAAGAGCTGGAGACTCAGCATCCGCAGCATATGCGAATGCATTGTGAGAGCATGTGTCTTGGAATTCAGCAGCACACACATATGCCCACTCACACACACACGCGCATGCACGCGCACACACACACACATACACACACACACGCACGCGCGCACATCTGGCGCTGGTTGGGTGTTGCATACTGAACATTCTGTACTTGCAACCTTATCTTGATCATGTGTGATAGTTGTGTCACAGGTTTTTGCCGTATTTTCTGGATTCTCTGTGCTTTCTGTAGATGGTCTTGTGCGCTCGTCATCAACAGCACTACACTACTGTAGGTCCAGTGGGCCAATCAGGCTGAATGGCATCATCCAGCTGTAACTGGGGTGTAGGTAAGTGTCTCTGCGTGCTCTAATGGTCGACTTGTGGCTTCTGCCTTCAATCATTGTTCTTGCACGGGACCTGCCTCGCATACCCTGTGGTTCACTCGTGTTGGCAGGCTGTGATGCACAGTGGAATCCTTGATGTGGCACTCGGTCTACATGTATGTTGTTTCACGCGAAAATATTGCTACTGATGGGCTTTGGTGTGATGCTCTGAATAGACGTACCATGAAAGCCTCTTGATTGGTCTCCGCAGTACATTCGCTCGCCTGGCTCGTTTTTGTGGATATTATCCACTGTTGCAATGGAGAACTTTGCGTGAGGTATCTCACTGTTCATTCCGAGCTCTGATTTCTTATCAATGATGGTCTTTTGATATCGCTTGTAGGAGTCGACACCTGCTGTTGCACCGACGCGAGCTAGTACTCACATAAGCTCGCTGGAATTGCTATGTGCATCCACAAAGTCCGAAAGAACAAGCTGGAAAGGGTAAGTGCATGCTGGTGTGCTTGCATGCATCATGCATGATAGCACAAACAAGCACCTGATCCTCTTTGCACGGTGGTTGGATGCTTGACTTCTTTCTGACTTTGATTGGCCGTACACCATCAGCCAAATGTTTCCCCACAACTCACTGTCCACACTATCCACCACTGCGTCCAGCTTCATTTCCGACAGTGATGTTAGAACGTTATGCTCTTTGTGTTTGAATTCTTGTGCTTTGATTTGTGAGCGCATTGCAGCCGACAGCTCTGACACGAAGGATGATGGGCCACTGGGTTGGCTTGTGTGCTGTGTGTGCTGGGTTTTATTTTGTGCTCTGTGTTTCAGGGTCTCGGATCGTGCAACGGCGAGGGAATTGTATAAGCACAGAACTGTGTCACACTTGTACGGTACAGGAGCGTACCTCGTTTATTACTGGTACCATATGACCCATGGCTGAGATGAGCGCCAAGCTTCGAAATAAGGCTGGACAGTAGCCACCGGTTGTTGCAGTTGATGGATGGTAAAGAAGAGGTGAAGAAATCAGCAGTCGTTGCCAGAAGAAGAGAACGGTTCTCGAGGAATGCAAGACAGACGAATCTTGCTGTTGCCAGCAATGCGGACTCCTCGGGTGAGGTGCACTGGTGCATTTCGTCTGTTCTACTCTGCATCAGGCTCTCCAGCTTGAAGTCAGTAGTCTGACTGTCCACCATATCCAGTTGGCCTTTATAACAGGCTAGGCAAAAAGCACTATCCGCGGTGACCGTAAGACCACGCTCAGCGTGCAGCTGACGTTGAACAGCTCCGACGTTCGGACATTTACGCTTAATTAACACCCCTTATTTGCGCGCTGCACATGGTGCATGTGGGCCTGTTGCTGTCATGTAGCTGCATGTTATGCCGGTTGCAGAGACCCGCTGGCTGATCGTTTAAGTTTACTTTCACCTTAAGCTTCTCGGCCAGCTCTACAGCTTGTAATGAAACTGTGACATGCCGTGGCAAGTCGCAACCATCTACTGAGCAGTCTGGTGTTGTTTCGAGTACGGGTACAGGTGTTGGTGGTGCTGCTGCTGCTGCTGCCGCAAGTGCAGGCATTGCTTCTGTAGGCTGCACGTTGTCGGCGACAGGCATTGGCTCTGCTGATTGATTTATGAGCCTTTTCATGCATTTCTTGCAGATACATGCATTTCGTGGTATTGTAGGATGATGTGCATATTCCCAGCATTGCGTGGTCTCGGGGTGGGCATATCTGCCATCAAGGGGAACATCTTGGCAGGCTACACATGATCCGCATTGCCTGTCAGGATGCAATTTCGAGCCCTGGCTTTGGCGACCCATTTGGACTTGGTCACAGTGCGGACACTCGTGGTTTCTTCCTGGCCTATAGACACACCATCTGTCCGCCCATTCGCGTAGTTTTATCAGAGATAGAGCCTTGCAAAATAAGACGGCCCACAATCTCCTGCGACGTATCTACGAAATGGGAAATTGAGAAGAGAAACAAAAAGGCACCGCAACGACGTGAGATGTCGAATATCGTGGTGCACTTTCGAAAAATGTGCTCATCGCTCACCCTTCTAACACGATAACGGCGCAAAAGCAATCGATATAGGAGGATAAGCCTGTATTCTCAAGGTAACCAATTGTCGAAAATTGAGAAGAATTCGGTATGTCACTAAATTCGTCTTCAAATTTCCCGCGGTTGCAAATAAAAGTGCAACTTTTAGACGACTTTTTTGAACTAATACTTGGCGCACGGACTGTGTGCCAGCACACGCAGGCGACAAATTTCGCACCAAGGTTCAACTCGAAGGTTCAAAGGTTCAACTCGAGTGACAGAATTAGAAACTCGCCCAAATATGCTAAGGCGAAAGACTAAAGGGACAAGCCCAACTATTTTTGCGGATTTTCTGCCATAAAAAATAAACGTCACAGCCAAGCCTTCGTACGTGGTCGCGTCGCGCGATCCGCGATACCGACCGGAAGCTCCTTGGGACACTTGGCCGTGGCCATTGCAGGGTCGGACAGATTTAGCTTGCATTCGCGTACACGTACATGACTTTTGTACTACAGTACACCAGGTACACAAAAGAAAGCATTGCGGCGGGAAGGGAGGAACAGTTACAGAAACGTTTTTTGTTTTTTGTTTTTGTAGATCAGTGGTAGATGGACACGTTTCTGTTTTTGTTTTTGTCCTCATCATGATCCGATATCATCATGGCAAACGAGGTTAGAATACTAGATGGAGCGGAGGAATTGGAGGATTTCCTGAAAGTTGCCCTACCGCGTGCTAGCTTTGTAACGAGGACCACAGAAAAACCGTTTTCAAACAGGTAAGACCCACCAAAACAGAGCACCAAAATGCTGTCTTCGAAGCTTCGTCGTGTTTTTGTTGGTTCCAAAGGAGACAGGTAAGACCCACCAAAACAGAGCACCAAAATGCTGTCTTCGAAGCTTCGTCGTGTTTTTGTTGGTTCCAAAGGAGCAGTGAGTTGTATAATTGATAGGTTTTCAAGAGAAGAATATGTAGTGTGCATTGCCCTACATTAGTGCACCGTGCGTTACAGCCCTGCTAGCGGATACACGTAAATGCATTCACACTCACATAGAACTGTAGGATTATAAAATTTTGATATTCCCTGCAGCCATCCCACATAACGTTCTGCTCCACGTTACAAGGGGGCCTCCCATCAACCATATTCCCACACATATCGTTGCAGTGTACATAGCCGAGTCGTTAATGAGTGCTGGTATGATTATAACGTCTTCTACATGTATGTGTGCTATGTCCACAAATGTTGCAGTGTTGAAGAGATCTTCAAGGAGGCCATTCCGCGTCCAAAGGCCTTCATTTGGAGCCATGAACGTGGCGCGAGCTGTGCACAGATAGCTTTTGACGGAGTTCCGTTCATCTCCTGCGGCTTTCGCATACTAGAATGCCAATTTGGGAAGCACAGGTATTGGAATTAAATGGACAGGAAGAATCTGAATGTGATCTATTTCATGCAGTTGCTAGTTACCAGTGAGAACAGTTGTACCATCTCTTGATTCCTTTGCATCACATTTGTCAGTGACCAAGTGTTGTTGTGTCGGTAACATTACAGGTGCCACACCACTAAGTCAAGTGAGTCCTCTAGCGATGTAAGCAGTTCAGCATCTGTTGATCATGCTTACCCCAAAGCCTCAGCTGATAAGAAGAAGAAGAGGATTAAACTCCAAGGTCAGAAGCATAGCCAGAGTCATGGTTATCTATCTGCACAGCGTCAAGTAGACCAATGTTTAGGCAGCACGAGTTAAAATCCTCAGTTATTAGGCACATGTACTGGCTGAGATGATTCGTTGGCGACTATGCTGGTACGTTTATATGTTCAGCATGTTCCCTTCTCTCCGGAGACGTGTGAGACGATTTCCTTACACACAGTACATGTACTGGTGCGTCACGGCCACACATTTCTTGCATCGAAAACTTCCGCCGCTCCATAACAATGCCAGATTTCGGGTAATCGAATATGCACAGCTCCAATTCAAACTACAAGGCAGACAGTCCTGCTCGCACAGCATCAACTGAAAAGCTACCAGGATGTTCTTAGGCTTGACATCTGCCAACGACAAAGCTCCTTTATTCTTTTACCAGAGCCAACAGACGGGGGAAGAACGAAATAAATTAATTGCAGTTGGCGAATACCACAAACAGTTCGTATATCTGTATCATTTTTTCTCCTTCAACATGTAGTTCTGAAAACTCTACAAGACGAGATAAGAAAAGCACCGTATGAGAGAGAACTACGGTACATACACTAGATTGGAGACCAGGGAGTTGTGTACGCGCAGGTTGCTCATCCGTCTGACCTCGCAATGGCCACGGCCAAGTGTCCAGTCGGTATCGTGCACCGCTGCGACGCGGCCACGTACGAAGCCTTGGCTGTGACGTTAATTTTTTTATGACAGAAAATCTGCAAAAATAGTTGGGCTTGTCCCTTAAAGCGGGATTCACAGAAGCTTTTTTGCGATGCGACACGCGATGCGACGCGATCTGCGACGGACGCGTGCGATGCGAACTCGCGAAATACCATTCACAGAAGAAGTCAGTGATGCGACAAAATCTTGCTGATTTGGCTACGTCACCATGATATTCGCGCGGTTTGATACAACTTGTACAAATTTATAGGCAACTCTTGCACCTTTGTACAACTTTGCTGTAGAAAAGGTCAAAATCGTACGCCAAATCGCTTGTCGCATCGCATCGCATCGCAAAAGTTGAGCCAAGCTCAACTTCTGCGATGGCCCAGTTGCGGCAGTTGCGTGGGGTGCGACATGGCTGCGATTTGGGGTTTTCCCGGTTTCGCGCCTGTCGCATCGCGTGTCGCATCCCAAAAAAGCTTCTGTGAATCCCGCTTTAAGCGGGATTCACAGAAGCTTTTTTGCGATGCGACACGCGATGCGACAGGCGCGAAACCGGGAAAACCCCAAATCGCAGCCATGTCGCACCCCACGCAACTGACGCAACTGGGCCATCGCATGCCATCGCAGAAGTTGAGCTTGGCTCAACTTTTGCGATGCGATGCGATGCGACAAGCGATTTGGTGTACGATTTTGACCTTTTCTACAGCAAAGTTGTACAAAGGTGCAAGAATTGCCTATAAATTTTTACAAGTTGTGTCAAACCGCGCGAATATCATGGTGACGTACCCAAATCAGCAAAACTTTGTCGCATCGCTGACTTCTTCTGTGAATGGTATTTCGCGAGTTCGCATCGCACGCATCCATCGCAGATCGCGTCGCATCGCGTGTCGCATCGCAGAAAAGCTTCTGTGAATCCCGCTTAAAGCGGGATTCACAGAAGCTTTTTTGCGATGCGACACGCGATGCGACGCGATCTGCGATGGATGCGTGCGATGCGAACTCGCGAAATACCATTCACAGAAGAAGTCAACGATGCGACAAAGTTTTGCTGATTTGGGTACGTCACCATGATATTCGCGCGGTTTGACACAACTTGTAAAAATTTATAGGCAACTCTTGCACCATTGTACAACTTTGCTGTAGAAAAGGTCAAAATCGTACACCAAATCGCTTGTCGCATCGCATCGCATCGCAAAAGTTGAGCCAAGCTCAACTTCTGCGATGGCCTGCGATGGCCCAGTTGCGGCAGTTGCGTGGGGTGCGACATGGCTGCGATTTGGGGTTTTCCCGGTTTCGCGTCTGTCGCATCGCGTGTCGCATCGCAAAAAAGCTTCTGTGAATCCCGCTTTAGTCCTACCCTATGCTAAGGGGCTATCCGTAAATATCGATAGTTTTTTCAATCCGTGAATTCTACAAAGTAACCAGGACCCACCACCCACCCCCCCCCCCCTACTTTTTACGGCATAAAAATATTGATGACACATGACTGTACTGTACCTACAACAGTCCACAAGGCTTCGATGACGGCGTAGTAGCCATCGTCGTCTTCACCAGGGCTGTCAAGCTCTTTGAAAAACTTATCTTTTTTGGCAGCTGTACCAAACAAAGTAGTCTGCCGTGCCACTTTTGTTAGGCAGCTGTACCAAACAAAGTAGTCTGCGTGCCATTTTCGTTAGGCCACGCTCCACATGGGAACTGTTCCAACCATTGGCGATGTAGCAATTCTTCGATGTGGAGTTCAAATAAGAGCTGGACTTGGCCCGGATTAATCAGGTATTGTGATACTTCGAATAATTGTGCAATAATTATACTTGTGAATAATATCTGACAAACTTCCCTCTTTCTTTTGCTTCAAGAGTTTCGATCTCCACTACATTTTTTGGAGACAACAATCTATAGAGGGGACGGCTCGATACCGGGACGCTTTGACAGCCAAATTTGTATAGACCCAAACCGATCATCAGCGTTGATTTTTCACTCGAAATATGTTTGTGGAAGGAAGCTGGCATGTTGAAGTTTGCTCTGGGGCCAGAGTCAATCGAACTGAGCCACTCCTTTGTGTTGACCCATTGCCTCCAAGTTGCCCAATTTTTCGCTTCAAAAAAGTTCAAATCAGAGGTGGCTCCAAACCGGACACGTTTTGGAGTGCACGTCAAATTCACTCTGGGTCTGAAATTAGGTAATTGCTATCGCTCCACGACGGCCAGTACAGAGTAACGATAAGCCTTGTGTGTGCTTCCATTAGTTTTGATTGGTATGCGGTGCTTTATTGGCGAGAGGCGAGCTGCTGTTTACCTGCGACAAGAAGTTGATTTTTCGAAAGTCGCAAAACTCAAGTCGCAGTGCGAAGCAACACGTCAAAAACTCACCTGCTTGATATGGCGCTTCTGGTCATCGCAGAGCCATGAAATTTTGGCTCGGAGTATAACACATCGTAGTCTCACTGTGACATATGTTTTCTAATCAAAATACCAAGAGAGAAAGTGAATATTGAGTCCGTTCCGGTTTGCAACCTATGTCCTATTTGAAACCGTCCCCTCTACGTGTGGTTCGACGCACGCAGACCCACGCACACGCAGTACTGGGCGCCAGGTCCGCGTGTCATCGATATTTTATTTACTTTGAATTTCGGCTGCACCCACCACCCAGGCCAGGTACGAAAATTTCACGGATTGTAAAAACTATCGACATTTACGGACGGCCACTAAGGAAATTAGTTGTAGCCTGCAGGCTGGGCACGGTGACCAGGTGACTGGTGCATGCTGGCATCATTCAACAGCCACTATTTTAGTCTGGTCTACAACACACAGCTATGAAGTGGCGTTTTCTGGCCAGTGAATCCCCACTTTTTGGTCTTTTCATGTTTTGCGCACACATATCACTGCACACACAGCACATACTCTGGCATGCACTGGCTGTTGGTAACCTTGGTAACCACCCAGGAGAATGAAAGAAATGTCGGGAGGAGATCGAGAAAGAGAAGAAAGACGGGTGTGGCCATACTCCTCGGCATAAGGACCCGCAGCCTCACCATTGGACATCAACTGCACATACCACTTCGCCATATGGGACACACACACACACACACACACACACACACACACACACACACACACACACACACACACACACACACACACCTCAGACCTCAGACATGCCCATCGCGGAAGCGATGATAACGAACAGCTATGTTAGACATAGCAACTTGTGCTGGGATTACACCATTCAACACACACACACACACACACACACACACACACACACACACACACACACACACACACACACACACACACACACACACACACACACACACACACCAGGCACGGCTGAACATGATTGTCGGATCATGAAACATTTCAAGTCGAGATCAACATGGATAGCTGACTAAATCACGAGTTCAAACTGAAATCCTTTTTTTTGATCAAAATTTATACAGATCAGGGACAGAGCAGGGATAAAACTGGATAGTGAAACAATAAAAAATAACTGAGAAGAAGTTTGGAGGCTTCCTGCAGTTTCATAGTAGATACAATTGGTCGAACTCACCCATTCCATAATACTCTGCATTGACTACCTGAAGAAGGCCATTTACCGAAACGTTGTATATAATGGAATGGTTCGGAAATTTGCAGAGTATTGTGGAATGGGTGAGATCACCCAATTGTATCTAATAAAATAATAAAGCCCCAAAATACAAGGTCAACACTAATGAAGTCGACACCATGGCTAATGTCAAAGTCAAAGTCATGGCTCCTCTCCATCCGCCAGGGAGAACAGGAGCGTTCCGGCGCTGACTCCAGTGCATGCACTTAGAAACTGCTAGGCAGGTGATGACGTGCTGGATTTCAAAGAGATGTCAGTGCTGTTGAAGGGTTCCGTTGATGGCATCTCTTCAGGCATTCTCTTTAGCCACTGGCTGAAGCTGCATGATAAACACGGATTCATGTACACAGACATGCACACATCGAAATGCACATACGCACACGCACACACACGCGCACACACACGTGCACACACGTGCAAACACACACACACACACAAACAAACACACGTGCACACACACACACACACACACAAACACACCCATACAAAACACATGCACACACACAACCACACACACACACCCAAACACACGTGCACATACACACAAACACGCACGCACACACATCAATGGGTAATAACTTGTAAGTGATATCAACCCGTCCGTGGCCGTGAACGGGTTGGAGGTACATGGTGTGCTATTGAAACCCAGCATCAGTGTAATACCCACAGTCACCAGTCAGTCCCGTTTGTGCACTGGCACGACGTCACTTTTAATTCCATTTGTACAGTACTATTTGACCTCTTGATCTTTCCAGGTTTTCACCTTTAAAAGCACTTGAAGGGTAAAGAGTTCAAACTGCGTGACTTTTCATGTGTTGATGGCTCATTTGAGCGGGCGGTTGTGGAAAAAACATCCCACATTCAGAAAGGTCCCTGATTGGCTGCAACCCTGGTAACTATCACCTGACATGTCATAATCAGTGGTGGACCTCGCTCAGTTGAAGGATAGTTACTGTGGCGTAGCTGCCCCCCCCCTCCCTTTTTAGGGGGTGTACAGTCACATATGTGTAAGATGGCTGGTGCATGTCATTCATCGTCATTATGTGCATGCTGAACCTAGGTTGGGATTTTTAGGTGTGCGTGTGTGTGTGTGTGTGTGTGTGTGTGTGTGTGTGTGTGTGTGTGTGTGTGTGCACGTGAGAGACAAAGAGTCAGAGAGAGAGAGAGAGAGAGAGACCTGGCTTCAACACATTAAATTTTTTATATTTTTATTCACAATCACGTTGCACTAGCCAATGAAACGGTAATGAGGGTGATAGCCAGCCATGGCGCTAATAGAGCTAGATTGCTAGGAGAAAGAAAGAAAAGATGGAAGGGGAACTAAAATGTAAGAGAAGCGGCGGGAGCTACGTGAGATTCACTTACCAGTACATACGTAGCTTCCCTTTGTGTTCCTGCAAACGTTTCCCGCGCCACAAGGACCTGTTGCACACTCATCCACATCTGTAAGCAATGGCGAAGATGCAGCAAAGAATATGAATACCATTGGATTCGAGGTAAAATTCATGCCAAAAGAGCGACTGCAGATTATACTCTGATGATCAAACTAATATGTAAAGAGAAAAGGACCTATAAGGTACAAGTTATGGCTAACAGTCCACCAAGGAGATAACATGCAGTCAGATAGTGCGACAATAGGGCACAAATCTCACAAGGATATTGAGGCATTGGACAATTCTTTGTTGCCGAGGGACATAGCTCGTGCATATCTTCGTGGCGCATCCCTTCCCCTCAATGCAACTTTCCGCACCTGAGCCTTCCAAGTTGGAAGGTTTTTGGTTTGCGCTTCGTAGATGTGTTGGAACTAGGTGTCAGGTCGTCGAATGTCTCAATATCCTTGTCAGTTTTGTGCCTTGTCGCACTATCTGACTGCATATTATCTGATTACCTTGGTTACCTTGGTTACCTTGGTTACCTTGGTTACCTTGGTGGACTGTTAGTCATAACTAGTACATGTACTTCCTCCGCGTCATCGAAATTGTCGCAGTTTGACTAGTGACTTGTCACTTGTTACTGACAACTCCATAATTTTACACAGTATGATAGTCTGAAGACTAGAGTAACGTTCCAGGACAGTTGGACTGAGAGTTTTCATGCAGAGATGAAGTCCTCGTCGTCGCTGATGTCAATTGGGCGCAAAAATATCGTTCCGAAATATTTCAAGGAAGGTTGAAAGTTGGTCGCGCCTCATCTCAAACGCTTTGACTTTCTCCACAGGATAAGAGCTACTATGCTTGTCGTCTGCTAGCTCTGGATGATTTCTACCTCACCACCAACGAAGCCTAGTAAGAATACACGATCGTTGCGAAGTCGGTTGATTCCCGGGGGCGGAATCAGCTCGATCTTGAAATGAACTTTTTTTTAGCCGTGGCATGCCTATTTATTTTAGCTGTGTGGTCACAGCTCATGCAGGTAAGTGTACTATCACGTCCAGCGCGCCATTTTTTTCAGCATCACTGGTATACCATGGTACGGCACCTGCGCGTGCATCACTAGCACTACGTGTAGAGTCTACACGGCTCTTGAAGGTACACAATCATGAACTGAGTGTCTCAGCCAGAGCGACAAATTTTATCGCTGTTGCAGGCATTTAGTTTGCTGACCCCTCGATGTTTCTCCAAGCGCTGCCACTTGTTCCACGAAGTCATTCTCACCCGAGCTAAGGTAAAACAGTGATGAGGCTTGAGTGAATGGCCATAAGCACGAGAAATGTGCAGGCTGCAACGCCTGACTGATCTCAGCGAGTCGAAATTACCATCGCAGCGACATCAGCGAAGAAATTGCATCTAGTTCAAAAATTCCAGCTTCCAATAACAGAAAATAGAACTTTGCCGTCACCCTATACTGATGACTATCGCCTATGTCCGATTCCTTGCTTCTGGTACGAGTGCTGGTGAGTAAATACCCCATTTTATATCAAAAGTCAAACTGCGACAATTTCGATGACGCGGAGGAAGTAACTTATAGGTCCTTTTCTCTTTATATATTATGAGCCGCAGTCAGCGAAAACGAATCTAAGAGGTTTCGTTTTTTTTCTTCGAGAAAAAGGTCGATTTGTGACGTTCAACGAATTTTTTGATCGCGCTGAACTCCTAGCTTGAAGTATTATTTATTTTGAAGAAGTGGTGGTGAGTGTCGACTCCAGTGATCCTTGATCTTGTTGTGATGGCTGCGGACGCTAGAGCTGTTCGCAGAGCACACACGGCAGTCATGGTGTACAGCTAGCTCGAGCCTGGTGGGGAGTGGATGCTGAAGTAGCCGCTGAAGTTCAGAGATGAGACGTTCTTTGGTTCCGACATCGATGTCGACAGCGAGGCGGAATTGCAGCCGTCATCTCCTGCTGCGATGCGGCTCAAGGTGGCCGATGACTTGTCGAGAGTCGGAAGATGAGGAGTCGTCACCTGAGATAAATTCTGAGTCTGGGGTCAGTGACGGCAGCGACGTCGTGTCTTCATCTGTGGAGGATGAAAAGGAAGACGAGATTGCGGAACGACTCCACGCAGGTTGCAGCTGCGAATATGTCGATCATTTCTCCGCACTCATCAGCTATTCTCTGTCATTATAGCTGCTTACTGCACTATTTCAAAGGCATTCACATACTGGCCAACCCTCCCGTCTTTCCCGGGAAAATCCCGGAAAATCAACACTCCTCCCGGGGTCCCGGGGATTTCAAGCAAACTCCCGGAAAACCAAAGTTTTGTCTGATACAGGATTTTCCTGAAAACTCCATGGTTTCTCCCCGAATGTCCCGGTTTTTTGAACTTTTTCAAAGGTATGTACGGTGCTCATTCGCACTTCGAACTGTGCACAGCACTTTGAAGACCTGACCGTGCAAGATCTGCACTGACAAAGTGACAGGCGGGCGCCGACTGATCAAACTGCACTAATACAGGCGCAACAGGGTCGATCTGTGCTGTACGCACAGCTGCAGAGTCGAACGTTTTTTTGGCGGGAAAAGCTCTTTTTCACTTGTTTTTGTGCCATCCAGGGATTTTGAGAGAAATCCAGGGATTCTGCATGTCTTGTCAAGGGATTGAGATTGTGGTGGTTGGTCAGTATGCATTCAAGCTGCCCACCCACCTTAGAATGCTGAATATTCATTGTACACATGCACAGTATACATACATTGCACCAATTTGGAGTACATCCTGTATATTGGTGTATACACCCGTTTTGAATAGGAATATTGAACTTTTTCTAGGCTGAGGTCCTTCAGAAGATGTGTTTCAACAAAATTAATTTCTAACCAAAAAGGAATTTTGAAATTTTGACCCTAAGGGCTGATTTCGCTGGTTGAGGCCCATATTACTATTGGCTCAACATCAAAGTTTTTGATCAAACTAACTGTGTTAATAGGGGTAGGTATCTGCATTTCATGGCAAAAAAACATTTGGGGTGGGGGGGGGGGGGCGTGTGTCCTATGCTCCAGTGAGGCTTATACTCTGGAGAATGCACTATTTCATTGCAATTACCTATCTGCTGTTTAAAGACACCCACATACACACCCACACACACGCATGCACGCACGCACGCATGTACACACACACACACATGCACACACAGACACACAGACACATACACACACACACACACACCTACCTAAGGCGCAGATGAAGGCATCAGCCCTTGCTCTCGTCTGGCTGTAGATTAAATCGGTACTGTTGGTCTGCAAGCTATACCTCCCGGGTTTCTTGTTCGTATACCTCGTCCAAATGGAAGATGCTCCGTTCTTCGTTAGCACAGCGATCTCGGCCTGTGGTGAATGCAAGACAGACCCAACACATACATATACACACTGCGTCAAAGGTTTCTCACAGCAACGACAACATCGATACGGAGAAACCAAACTTCTGCGTTTCATGACGGTCATCCAATGCTGTTGTGTATCACTGGCCGATTATCTATGTCAGTCCATAACACACAACAAGAGCTTCGGTTGTTGTAGCTTGACTCTGGTCAAGGCTACGAGTAAGATCATTTCAAGTAATGAAGTCGATGATAAGAAGAAATTCGGCAGCTCTTTCACCAACCGGAAAGAGCTCTTTGTTTCGGGGGAAAACAGCAGCAACACCATTACGAGCACACTGTAACCAAATATGAATACTACAGAAAGAAGGTGAGTACGGTGCTGGCCCAATTCGGCACTAGCACGTACCCCGAAAAGAAAATACAGCGTACAACAATACAGTATGCATAGCAGATTTAGGCGCACGACGCGCAAATAAGGAGTTGATTAGATTATTCTCGCGATTCGCGACAAATGCAACCAGATACTATCCAGTCAGAAAATGTGAAAACAGAGGGCAAAAATGAGTTGGGGAGACAGAGAGAGTGTGCGTCTGTATGTGCGCTGCGTGCTATCACGCCAAGGCATGAAACCTCACAAGTGCAGCCGTGGCTAGGCCAGAGCAACCAACACAGACCGCAGCTCGTTCTGCATCGTTTCTAATTGCGGTCGGCGTTTCAGTAGACCACAGGACCTATCTCGTCATCGCCCCTACTGTTCCGAACCTGCTCAACCCCCCCCCCCCCCCATGGGGTCGGCATGGCCAGAATATGGCAGCGCGTGCAAGGTCCAAGGTCCAAGATGTGTGTGTGTGTGTATGTGTGAAAAAGAGAGTGAGTGAAAGATAGGTAGAAAGAGGATGCGTGAGAAAGAAAGAGAATGTGCGAAAGAGAGAAAACGAGGAAAAGGATAGATACATAAGATACATAAACAGATATTGAGAAAGAGAAATACGACCAGTTTGGATATGTCGTAACTCAAAGTTTCATGCTACTGCGGTTATCAGACGACTGATACTGAAACCCAAGACTATAGTCCGTTTCAAAAAGATTTACAATCAGGTTTGGGTCTTAAAAAGTATGAAGATAAGGGAAATTTGGACAACAAAGTACATAGAATGGCTTGTTAGGACACGGCAAATTGTTCTGTGAAGGTTTCGGAACAATTGGACCAACCGTTAAGGAGTTAGAATTTCGGCCAGGTTTCCGGCCTTTTCCCATGGTTTACAATTTGCCCAGGAAGCCAGTATCGATTTTTTTATCAAAACCCACGATTTATCCTTTCCTTTTTGGCCTTGTAGTTATGAATGCTGTCTGCTGACCATGAAGTTGTGAGTTCAAATCCCAACCTATCCTCAAGTCAAACTTTTTTTTCATTGTTTTGGTGATCAAGCTGGTACAAGACAAAGAAGATGGCTGCACCAAACGACTTGTTGTTGGAGGTCGCGCTTCCTGCCGAACTGACTGACACTTGACTGGCTCACGCCATGTGAACACACCCACAACACTGCAATGGTGCGAGTGAATATGGAAGTCATCGCGCTGTAGCTTTTTGAGATTTATTTTTAGTATTTCAAGATCGCCAATTTATTTGAATTTAGCAGTCAACGCCGTCTTCTATCAGCGTTCACAAGCGTCTGTTTTTCTCAAAATTAAATGTCGTCGAAGTCACACGGATAGCTTTGCCAAGTCATGGCCTTGGGAATGAGTCCGTGTCGATGTCGTTTTCGTCACACGGTGAGTAAATTGCATCGCAGCTCAAAGAAACTATTTTGGTCACAAAACGGATTGGGACACATGCCGCTCGTCAACATTTACAACACTTTCGTTTCGACATGTCCTCTCTGACTCCATTATCGATACGAGGAAGAACTCGTTTGTTGTAAACCAGACGTACGTCCATGACTGTGTCAACGTGAGTGAGTTGTCATTTTTCCTGCTTTCGCGCGGAATATTTCTTCGAGTTCACAGTGAGTTTTTCCAGGCAGCGCTCGAGTGCTCATACGGTAAGACGCCAAACTCCGCGGGCGATCGCCAGGGTTGTAAATCTTTTTGAAACGGACTGTAATCAGTATTTTAATATGATCATGCGGGATACCTTTTCAAATTTGGACTTTACGGAGAATTTCAAAGTATTAGGAAATCAGAGGCCACATGCCACGTACTGCTCTTTTCTCTCCGAAACTCAACACTTGCAAGCCAGATATTTCTTTCTTTCTTTCATATGTGGCTTGCAAGTGTTGAGTTTCGGAGAGAAAAGAGCAGTACGTGGCATGTGGCCTCTGATTTCCTAATATGCAGGATACCTGGCGCTTAAATTGACATTATTTAAAAACATTACTCTGTGCAATTCACGAATGAAAGCCAGTATCAGGCAAGACTCTATGGATGTTGTGAGGGATAAGTATAATGTTAGCACCAACGTATGCCCAACCAGTCATGATTGTGCAGGGTACAGACCTTGCACGGCAGCTGCGACTGGCAACTGAATTATTCCACAATTTCACGCTAGCTGTGAAGTTTTCTATGCACTTTTTGTTCTCGTGGCGGCATTTTGATACTAGTTGGCTTCCTTTGATCAGACTATTCAGGTTCTGGACATTGTTCAGTATAGCGAGCTTCTCGATTCTGCATAGGTTTCGCCTTTCCGACTTGTTGGAATACGCCGGTGTTATTGTGTGAATACGCCAGCGAAAAGAGTAATGGCATCCCACCCGCAGTTCAGATTCCACACATGACTTGACAGTTCAGTCTTAGATGCACAGTAGTCGAGCACTCTCAAGTAGGCACCGGTGGATAATGCCGGCAGAAAAATTGGCAGAATTCGGTACTTTTCTGGTAAGTTTCATGCATGTTTGGTATGTGGATAAAGAAATGGAGCAGAATTCGAGGAAAAAAGGAAAGAACATAATAATTGGAAGAAAAGAACAAGGAAGGAGAAAGAAGCCTGAAACTTGACAAAGATTTTAAATCCATAACACAGAACAACAGGAGCAATCATGGTTTGTTTGCCGCTACCTAACGTTTCATGCTTCTTTGATTGTCCTTGCTGTTCTGTGTACTATGCTCTGCCTCCGCGGTGTTGAGCACTGTCCACATAGTGGGTACATCCTCGGGTAAATCATAACACAAACATTGGAGAAAGGAAAAGGACAAAATGTTACGAGTTATGACAAATTGTCCACCAACGTAACCAGATCTTCTACAGTCAGCGAGTGCGACAAAAAGGCACAAGCTGACAAGGAGTATTGAGACATTCGGCGGACTGACACCCAGCTCCAACACTTCTCCAAGGTGCAAACCAACAACCTTCCAACTTGGAAGGCTCAGGTTCGGAAAGGTCCAAGAGGGGAAGGAAAGTGCAACGAAGAAGAGCACGAGCTACGCATCACGGCAACAAAGAATGCCGAAAGTTACTGGATGATGACGAAACTAGTAAGACTATTGGACAGACCGGCCTTACTACAACTCGACGACGCAAAGCAACAGACCACCCAACTTGGGAGGCAAACATAGAAGGGGAAGCTAAGCGAAGACGAATTGTGACAAACTGAAACGCCAACATCCTACTGAACTCCACTATCATGTATGATGGACTAGTTCCAAGTTGGAAGGTTGTTGGTTTGTGCCTTGGAGAAGTGTTGGAGCTAGGTGTCAGGTCGCCGAATGTCTCAGTGCTCCTTGTCAGTTTTGTGCCATTTTGTCGCACTCACTGACTGTATAAGATCTGGTTACGTTAGTGGACAGTTTTTCATAACTCGTAACATTTTGTCCTTTTCCTTTCTTCATCATAACTATATTGGCTCACCATCCGGGTTCAAACAAACATTGGAGGGAGCATTACTAGCAGTTGTGGCATGCGTTCAAACGTTTAAGGACCTACCGAAAAGCACGGGAAAGTCCTGAACTTGGAGATAACTTTGGACTTTAATATCGTATTCCCCTGATCCTTGCACACTTGCCGGGCTAATGAGTATGAAGTGGCCAGGTGATTGACACTGACATTATAGCCAGAACAGATTATTGATTCTGTTAGACAAAACAGAAATTCTCACAAAAGTTAGACTTCAATCAGTGGCCATATCTAAAGGATGTATTGATGTGTGTGTGTGTGTGTGTGTGTGTGTGTGTGCACGCGCAAGTGCGCATTTTTTTTAATGTGTGCATGCGTGGGCGTGTGTGTGCGTGCGTGCGTGTGTGCGTGTGTGTGTGTGTGTGTGCGCGCACGTGCGTATTCATGTGTGAGTGTGTGCGTGTGTGGGTGGGTGTGTGCTAGCGTGCGTGCGTGTGTGTGTGTGTGTGTGTGTGTGTGTGTGCGTATGAAATCACAGTGGAAGTGCATGATGCATAGCATCACTTGGGACTTACTGGGAGCACTGGGTACTGGCTTGGTGCAATGCGGTAGGCAGATGATGGAGGTGTTGCCCCGAATGACGACGGAAGCATTGCAGATGTACGTCTCCGGCTCCGTCTTACATCTTAATCGCTCACCCATAGAAGACACTTCTGGCGCTGACGCAGCCATTATTAGCGAATAGTTATCTAAATAAATCAGCAAATATCCAAATAGTGAAAAAGTTGATTCGGCAAAAAGGACCCTGTTTTCAGGCTCAAATATGATCGACTAGCAACACGTTGCCGAGTAACAGCCACTGAAATCAGTACATTCCGTGTTTTCAGTGTTACCTCTCTGTAGATATATCAGAAGCCGGAAGACTGCAGCATGTTTGTTTTTTTGTTTATTTTATTTTACTTCACCAAGTGAACGGGCATTTCTGCCTTCTCACCACGTCCAGAGACCTAGTTCCGACAAAATGATGAAGAGAAAATGAAAATGTTTGTATAAAATGATTAAAATCAGGCAGAAGATTAGTATCATGTCATCTTAGCTGCCTCAATTGTCTTTTCTGCTGGGTATATTTCTGAACCGAGCGGGGTATATTTCTGAACCGAGTGAACCGAGCGGGGTATATTTCTGAACCGAGTGAACCGAGCGGGGTATATTTCTGAACCGAGTGAACCGAGCGGGGTATATTTCTGAACCGAGTGAACCGAGCTGGGTATATTTCTGAACCGAGCTGGGTATATTTCTGAACCGAGTGAACCGAGCTGGGTATATTTCTGAACCGAGCTGGGTATATTTCTGAACCGAGTGAACCGAGCGGGGTATATTTCTGAACCGAGCTGGGTATATTTCTGAACCGAGTGAACCGAGCGGGGTATATTTCTGAACCGAGTGAACCGAGCTGGGTATATTTCTGAACCGAGTGAACCGAGCGGGGTATATTTCTGAACCGAGTGAACCGAGCTGGGTATATTTCTGAACCGAGTGAACCGAGCGGGGTATATTTCTGAACCGAGTGAACCGAGCGGGGTATATTTTTGAACCGAGTGAACCGAGCGGGGTATATTTCTGAACCGAGTGAACCGAGCGGGGTATATTTCTGAACCGAGTGAACCGAGCGGGGTATATTTCTGAACCGAGTGAACCGAGCTGGGTATATTTCTGAACCGAGTGAACCGAGCTGGGTATATTTTTGACCCCAGCGTGTTATAACATTCTGTATACCCCGCTCGGAACGGCCGCTGATTGGTTGAAATCGCCCGAATCGTATTGTACCATTGGACAAATGTATGCACTCACGTGGTAGGCAAACAAAATCGTACGCGCCGAGAGAGGCTGAGACGAAATCCATTACTGTGTCGTTGCCGTTGAACACCTCGCCTTCGCCATGGGTTGGGAAGAGCCAAATCGGTCTGGGCCTACCTAGCAAGCAGCCACGGTTGCCAGGTGTCATGGCGCGGAGGTAGTGGTCGCTCAGGAGGACTGTGTCTGCGTCAAGGCAGCTCCGTCGCGCATTGCTGAGAGAGGTTGCTTGGCCGGTGAGGTAGGTGGAAACACCGCATTCAAATGTATCTATACAAGCAAAACGGCAAACAACGTCAGAGATGTACAGGTGAGTAGCTCATGTGTAGTTGACGTAGTCCGGTCACCATAGCAGCAAAATGGCCGCCATAGGTACTACAAGGCAATAGGCAATAGACCAAAATGGCGCCTATTAGGTTGCGAATGGTACATGGTCACGACACCACAGATGTACAGTCTGATACATGGTCACCACACTACAGATGTACAGTCTGATACATGGTCACTGCATCACAGATGTACAGTCTGATACATGGTCACCACAGCACAGATGTACAGTCTGATACATGGTCACCACAGCACAGGTGTACAGTCTGACACATGGTCACGACACCACAGATGTACAGTCTGATACATGGTCACCACACCCACGGAGACTTACCAAACTTGTGACATGTGGGTAGATTGTTCCACACCAGTGCTCCGTTCACCGTGCGAGCTGTGGCCGCCGTGTTATTGATGCCGCCGGCGCAGTTAGGCAGAGTGCACCTCTCGTAGAAGCCTGGTGCACAGTGAAATGACGATGTTGTTGCATCAATGACGGCGTTGCTGCTGTCGTATCCAGTAGGAACGCTTGGACTACCCGCTGTCAGAAGGTGTAAGAACAAAAGGCAGGTACAGACAGGATATGTTTTGATTTGAGATTCGGAAATGGATCGCAGTCATCGTTGCTAACAGCCGGGGTTGAAGGCCATTTGTGAACGTCGACGGAAGTCAACATTATGACAACATAAGCTGGAGGTCTTCGACCATTCAGTGGTGTTGTAAATGCATAGGAGTGTACAACATGCATACATCTACCCAGGTATTGCTGGTCTGCACCACAATTGAGCTTAGAGCGCAATACCTCAATTTGTTCGTACCGTCAACTTCGCTTACAACGACTGCGGATATAACGACAATTCGCGAATAACGACATAATTTTCATGCCCGGAGCAAAATCCCATCCAACTGTGACACATATAATGAGACTTCGGGTATAACGACACTTCGCGAATAAGGAAACTTTTCTGATGCCCCGCCGAGTGTCGTTATAAGCGAAGTTGGCTGTACTTCGCACCAACCTCTCCTTCGCACTGTTCGTACTTGGTCATCTTTCGTGCTATTTTATTTTTTCCTCATAGCATTGTTCCTCATGCCTAGGCTCATGGTGGAATCGAGGTAGTTTTTCCCTGCAATAGCAGAATGAAGAAGGTGTGTATGTCATGTATTTCTCGTTTTCTCTAACTCTTTTTGCCGACAGATGCGTTAGCCCCATGGGTTATCTCACCCATGGGGTACATGCGAGCTGTTTATATTATTTTTATTATTATAGCTGTGGCATTATTCATGATTCTCAGCAAGAATGCAGCAATGCCTGTACACGTATGGCAAAGTTAGACAAAGACATAACACAACATACCTGCGCACGTGGGGAGGTTAAGCCACTCGTCATCCTTGCACACGGGTGGTACGGCGTGGCGTGGATTTCGGGTGCAAGGTCCACCGGAGCAGCTCCAGTAGTATCCTGGCTGGCAGGTCACAAATCCCGTCAGCGCATCCGCGGACATCCGGCCACGCGTTTCTACAGCGACGCATGCTGCACATACCGTACACAAACACACAAGCACAACAACACACAAACACAACAACACACACAAACACACAAACACAACAACACACAGACACACAAACACACAAACACAACAACATACAGACAAACACACAAACACAACAACACACAAAAACAACAACACACAGACACACAAACACACAAACACAACAACAAATGCCTTTACTAGAGAATGGCTAATTAAAGGGATAAAAATAATAGTTTTTTTCGGAATCAGGACCAATGGGCGATGAAATATTTTGCGATTTCAGAGTAAAAACGAAGATGGCAAGTACAGTCTGTATCGGCTATAGCGTACCCTTTTGATTTCCGTGATTTTATCACTATAACCGACGCATCACTATTATGCGATACGATCGATTTTTTTTCTTTTTTCGATCGACACATGAAAGGCAAGGAAATACTTCCAGCATGGCGTTTTGACAAATGAGCATGCTGCATAGTTGACAGTGCCCGCATTTCCATAAAAAATTCTGTTATGTACATGTACATGTATCACTATAAAAATAAGCAACGTGAAGAAAGTAAAAAAATAGGGCCTTTGATATTATTGCAACATGTATTTTAAAGTTATCATTATAGCCGATAATAATAATTATAATGTGTTATGCATGTTTAGATTCTTTGTTGCCATCATAATATCCGATATATCATTACATCCGATAATATTGGTTATTAAATTTGGACAATTTCAACTGTACGTGGTGTAGCCAAGGACTGTTAGTGTGTTGCGAGTTGGGTATACTGAAGGTATTGGTTATAGTGATATTTTTACTGGATAAAATACGTTTTGCGTTTGATACTTCGTACCAATATCACTGTAGCCGGTGTATTCTTATATCCGGTCACTCTATAGCCGATACAGCCTGTACTGATCTGTAAATGCAGAGTTTCGATTGGCATCGCGAAACGTTAGCGAAAACACTCCTTTCGCTAAAATCGTTTAAGATATCACCGCCGCTTAAATTACAGTAAGATCGGGCGCCGAAGAACACCTCGCCGAAGAACACCCAGGCTGGAAAATCGGCAAAATTTAAGAACAGTCCAGGCTAGAATTATCAGATTTAAGAACACTAGATCTACATTGTATGTAGATCTACATAGTCATTGTACATGTATCATGTGTATGGGAGGTGAGTACATGTCATGTACAAGTGTAAACAGTAACTGCTACATGTACAGTCATCCCCATTTACGACACCCACTACTGGCACTAGTTTAGAAGTACTACATATTGCACTACATGTACATGTACATGACAACCGTCATGACGTAACTCGACTCGCCGCGCGCGTGTGAATAAGAACGGTCAGGCTAGAATCAAAAATTTAAGAACTTTCCTAGGCTGCGCTCGAGCCCCTGCGTTCTTCGGCGCCCGATCTTACTGTAGCCATTGTGCAGTAGCGGACACGAATGATGTCATTATAATGGAACACTATAATAATCATACCCCTTGCATGCCTTTATCTCTATACATTTCCTCATATAATTTTCTTCATCTTTCTGTGAGAACCGGACCTATAGGCCGGTAAGAAGGCAATCTTGCCTGTGCAATTGGTGAAGTAAAATAAAAGTCAACAACAACAACAACACTGATATCATTTGAACGAGCCAATGAATCCATTGACAAAGGATGCTAGCCCTTCCCAAAGCAGCATACTGAAGTGAGACACATTATTTTGAAATTTTGAAATTAGGGTGCAAAATCCTGCATTCTGAGCGTGGTGGGGCGAAAAAGTGGTCGGGCCAAAGCCGGACCGGCCAGACCGGCTGCTACGCGCCTGCTACACCATAGCTCATTCTTCGTTAGCTCAGTGATTGGAGCGTTACTGGCCTGAAGCAAAGGTGCCTGGCTCAAGTCCTGGTAAAAAAAAGAAAAGTAAATTATCGTGTCCGTTCCCGAAGGGAACTCACGACGGCCGCTAACACCCGGTAAACTCTAGTGGTGGTGACAGTTAATTGTTTTCTTCGGACAATTCCCTTTTCCATTCCCCTATACCCTATCAGCAAAAGTCTCATTCAGGGTTGTGTATTGTGCACCCTTCAGGTCACATGGGCGTGTATAGGGTGCTAACAGATTGTGATCATGTGGATAACTATCACATGTTACACACAGTCATGCGGATATACGTGAAGAGGCAGACTAGAAAACCTAGACGTATTAAACCATCCAACGCAATGACAGGTCTTGTTGCATTTGACACAACCATGCCGCACAATGCTTGCAGATGACAACATGAACAGTTCACCAGGCACACTCCACAGCAGCAAGTAGTGTAATTGCGCTCTCGTGCCGACCTCAACGCATTGCCGCAGCACAACATCAGCAAGGTGGATTGAGTGTCAACGGATGTGTCGCAGCTATGGTCCGGTGGTTGATGGAAAGTCTTGTTTCGATCCAAATTTTTTAAGATGGCAATGAACAGAATCAGATGAAGCAGTTATTTCGTTGTCCATCACCACTTCACATTTCAATAAAACCGACTTAACATGTCGTTTCAGCTGATTCTGTTCATTGCCATCTTAAAATTGTTGTCACCTCGCCGCCTGTTTGTTTCAAATGATAACCGTTACTGGTTAGAGTAGAATGAATTTCCTCAAGGTTACTTACATGTCATGCAAACGGCCCATTTGGTTTTTGCGGCCGCCACTGCTGCTGATGGGGGACTGTTTGGCCAGGAGTTGTAGGACACCAGTGAAATCATTGCAGGCGTGATGCTCGCATTCTGGTAGTGAATGAAGTACCAGACGTTGTTCCAGGAGGCGAGAAGGTCCTGAAGTGGGGCCAGGTCAGCGGCATTGCTCACAATTGGTAGGGTGCTGCTTGAGTCATGCCTGGTCCGACACTGCTGAGTGGCATTGGCATAGGTGCTGGCCTGAGCAGGTACAAGCTGTCCTGCAAACTCGTTCATGGCTAGAATGCCGTAAGTATCACCTCCGGATTTGAACATGTAACCTGCAGGTTATGGGCGGGAGAAAAGGAGAGAGAGAGCGAGAGAGAGAGAGCGAGAGAGAGAGAGAGAGAATGGACGGACAGACGGACAGACGGGCATAGAAAGAGACACAGAGAAAGAAACACAGAGAGAGGGAGTCAGACAGACAGACAGACAGACAGACATACAGACAGACAGACAGACAGACAGACAGACAGACAGACAGACAGACAGACAGACAGACAGACAGACACACAGACAAACAGACAGACAGACAGACAGACAGAAAGACAGAAAGACAGAAAGACAGACAGAAAGAGACGGAGGGAGACAGAGAGCACACAAGGTCGACCAAAGCGTACATCAGTCAATGCACGAAATGGGCCAAGCTCTTTAGACTATAAACATTAGTGCACTACTAGCGTCCATGTTGTCTGTGAGAACAAAACTTACGAGTGCATGTGGCGAGTGTTTCTGGAACCCAAGATCCATTTTCACATCGCGGTGGTAGCAGAGGAGGTGTGGGCAGGTATCCGGGTAGGCATTGGACACGCCCTGCTCGATTGATTCCAGCCATACCAACGGTGTGCTTGTATGAGATCTGACAACCTGGTGTCAAATACACACGCACACACACACGCACACACACGCGCACACACACACACACACACACACATACACACACAAACACCCCCCCCCCCCCCCCACACACACACACAAGCGCGTGTACACACATGCACGGACACACACGCATACATACACGTACACGCGCATAGACACACACACTCACACACACACACACACACATACATACATGCACACAAACACACATCCAGGCACGTACACACATACATGTACATACAAGCACGTACACAAACACAGGATAATGCATCCACATATGGACATGA